AGCCTCCTGAGTAGCTGGGATTACAGGCACGCGCCACCATGCCCAGCACACCATGCTCATGACAGGCGTGAGCCACCGCGCCCAGCCTTACTTTACTTTATTTTTGAGACAAGGTGTTGCCCTGTCTCCCAGGCTGGAGTGCAGTGGCAGGATCACTGCAGCCTTAACCTCCTGGGCTCATGCAGTATCCCCAGCTCAGACTCCCCAGTAGCGGAGACTGCGGGTGGGCACCACCACGCCTGGCTAATTTTTGTATTTTCTGTAGAGATGGGATCTCATCATTTGCCCAGACTGGCGTTGAACTCGTGGGCTTAGGCAATTCTCCAGCCTCAGCCTCCCAGAGTGTGGGGATTACAGGAATGAGCCAACACACCCAGCCTCAAAATTTTTGAATAATAATTTAGGAGGGCAGGGAATCCCAGGAAAGAATGTAGAATGTGCCAGGCATGGAGGCTCACACCTGTAATCCCAGCACTTTGGGAGGCCGAGGTGGGCGGATCATGAGGTCAAGAGATCAAAACCATCCTGGCCAACAGGGTGAAACCCCATCTCTCTACTAAAACACAAAAATTAGCTGGACATGGTGGCGCGCACCTGTAGGCCCAGCTACTCGGGAGGCTGAGGCAGGAGAATTGCTTGAACCAGGGAGGCGGCGGTTGCGGTGAGCCGAGATCACACCACTGCACTCCAGCTGGTGCCTGGTGACAGAGAGAGACTGAGAAAGAAAGAGAGTGAGAGAAAGGGAGAGGAAAGAGAAAGAAAGAAGCGAGAGAAAGAAAGAAAAAAAGAGAGAGAAAGAAAGAAAAAAGAAAGAGAAAGGAGGGAGGGAGGGAGGATGTGACAGAAGAACGTGACGCTGTGAACGGATGAATCACCTCGCTGAGGGCGGGAAGGTGCTTGCCTACCTAATTCCGGAAGTGAGTGGAGCCTGTGAGACTCGGGGCTGCGCACCTGCAGTGTGCTCTAGTTGATGAAGTTGCTTCCCACAGGGCTACGGGTTGAAGATTCTGATGTCACCGGGAGTGACAGCTAAAGCAGTAGGTGGCGGATGGCGGGGCCCCATCCCTCGCTCTCAGAGGGGACTTTGCAGACAAGGAGGGGAGGCAGCTGACCATCCAGGGGGTGATGGGCAGGGACTGGAGGCATCTGTGAGGGTTCCTGTTTAACTTAACACAGACACAGGTGAGTACAAACAAAAATATGTGCAGGTGAGTGCACACACACGTTAGTACACACATACGTTAGTACACACATGTTAGTGCACACAGCACACACGTTAGCACACACACGTTGGCGCACACACAGCGCACACACACGTTAGTACACACACATGTATTTGTTTTATCTGCAAGAGACCATGAAGGGAAATCACACCCCAGCAGCCGTGAACACACGTGGCACCCAGATCTTCCCTTCCTAGTGCCATTGTGTCCTAAGGGACCAGAGCCCCACAGGGAAGTGGCTGATTCCAGGACTGGGGCAGGAAAAATGCAAGATGGGTCTGGAGGATCCTGCAGTGCCAGAAAGTAAGGAGGTGCTCAGAAAAACGATGGACCACACACACTCACACACACATACACACACACGCCATACACACCACAAACATAAACACACACACATACCATGGACACACCACAAACTCACATACACACTTGTACCATGCACACACACCACACACATACATACACATACATAAGTACCATGCACACATATACACACACCACACACACATACACACACACCACACATATACCCCTATACACCACACATACATACATCACACACACCACACATACACACACACCACACATATGCACACATATACCCCACACACCACACACATATATACACACATACACACCACACACACATATAGACACATATGCCACACACATACATACATCACACACATATACACACACACGTACCATGGACACACCACAAACTCACATACACACATGGACCATGCACACACACCACATACATACACACATTCACCATGCACAGACACATACACACCACATACATACACACATACACTCATACATAAGTACCATGCACACACATATACACACACCATACACACACACCACACACATATACACACATACACACCACACACACACACATAGACACACATATAGACACACGCACCACACACACCACATACACACATGCACCATGCACACACACCACATACATACACATTAACCATGCACCATGCACAGACACATACACACCACATACATACACACATACACTCATACATAAGCACCATGCACACACATTTACACACACCATGCACACACACACCACACATACACACCACACACATATGCACACATATACACCACACA